AAAATTAATCTTAACCAATTAATCCAATAATTTTCAATGAATAAATGAGTTGTGACCAATACAAGTTTTGACTATGTAATTGATTAATAATCTGTGACTTGTAAATTTGTTGATTCGTGATTGGAAAATAATTTGTGACCTATAAAATTTTTGATTTGTGATTGAGAAATAAGTTGTGACCAATAAATTGATAAGTGTATTTAAAAATTAATTCGTGAGTAATAAATTTTTTGATTTATGATCAATGAACAAACTGTGATATACAAAATTTTTGAATTGTGATCGTAAAATAATTTGTGACATAAAATTTTTTATTTGTAACCAAAAAATAATAAGTGACTAATTAAATTGTTAATTTGTGATTAAATTGTATAGATCTGTGACTTAAATATATTTAATTATTAAAATAATTAATTAATTAAATCATAAATAAATTTTAATAAAAATCTAATTTTTGAAGTTTGAAACTTATTTTCTTAATTTTGAAATGTGTGATACTTAAACTCTTTTTATGAGATATTTTCTAAATCTATTTATATATCGAGGTTGACACTCTGATGTATAGACCCCTTCACAATAGGGAGCCACGATTTACCCCTGTGTACATATAGCAGGTTTAATTTCGTAAAGCCCATATGCTTTATGGCTTTAATTTTCTCATTATTTTGAGCTCTCAAGATTTAAAGGATGCGTGTGGATTTATCTGTCTAATCTTAAATGAAATCATTAACAATTTAGAAAAATGGGCCTCAGTTTATAAACGTTCTAACGACTAAACCCATGCATGGTTTCTTTTTTTTTCTTTTTCTTTTTTTTTTTTCAAAAATTCAATTTTTATAAAACTTATTTTCAACTACACATTCTTCTATAAAATACTTTTACATGAAAACTTAAAATTTTTTCTCATTTTTTAAATATACATTCTCCAACAAAAATACTATTTCAAAAATGCATTTCGGCCTAAAAATGGGACTCAAACTTGGGCTAAATATACATGATTTTTGAAAATAGATCCACAAGGGGAAATTTTGAATTTAATTATTTGTAAGTCATGAAATCAATCGTTCTTATGCTTTAAGGGGTTGTTTGACAAAATTTTAGCATATTTTTTTAAAAATTAATAAAATATGTGATCGAAAAGTTTGTTAACCCCGTGAAATTTGATTCAAATTGAAGTATAATAAGTTTATGAGATCAAATATTAAAAAAATAATACTCATTGGAGACACTCTGCTATCTAGCACCAGTGGTCTAGTGGTAGAATAGTACCCTGCCACGGTACAGACCCGGGTTCGATTCCCGGCTGGTGCATTTTGTGCGTCAATTTGTTTTTAACCTCGCGTTTCTCCGGTTTTTTTCTATTTGATTGTGGTAATTGGAACCTTCACTTCATTGAGAGGTCTTTTGGTACGCAGTTTCTAACTTTCTATTATATATAATTGGAATCAAGGCATCAGACCTTTGTAAATTTGTATGGCCAAGCTTCAAAATTTAGTTATATTAATAAGTTTTGAGAAAAATAATTTATGTTTTTAAACTCACTTATTGTGCTTTAAAAGAACAAGGGTTGTTTGTGAACACTTATAATAAAAAATTTTAGCAGATTTGATAAAACTTGATGAAATGTGTCGTTAAAAAATTGGTAAAGTTGTGCATCCCATGAAATTTGTTATTAAGCCCTTGTTTGATCCCCATTTTATTAAATTATATTACTTTTCATTTTTTTCTCTCCTATTTTTAACCACACAATCTTCCATAAAATAATATTATACGTAAATCGAAAACTTTTCCTTTTTTTTCAACCACTCATTTTTCTAAACAATACTATTCCCCCCATTTTTATTTTTAGGTAATGGGGGTCAAACGGGGGCTAAAATTAATTTTGAACTTTGACTCAACTTTTTAAACTAGTACAAATAATCACTTGATAAAAATCAATTATTGGATCAGTGACCTCTGCTGTTAATAACAGAACAATAATCAATAAGGTTGTTGAAATATATTGGAAACCAAAATTTTACTTAAAGGTAAATCCATACCCCAATTCTATGGTATATTTGTTTATACAAAACACAGAGTGATGGTTTCAATCTATTCATCGTGGCAAAACTTTTCAAGAACTAGCAATCTACACCTTCTCATCATACCATACAATGCATTATTTATATGATGATCATAATGTTTGACCTCTTTCTCGTACACTTATTTCGTGTCTTCTATGTTGTCCACTTTGAAATGGATAAATTTTAATATATTTCATGAGGAATTGTTACCATAACATTTTCTAGGGGTGACTTAGAAATGTTAATATACGTTAACCTTAAAATTCAATGAAATCTAGCTGTCAATGGATTTCAACTTCTTTCTCTTCTACGTGTATGTTATCTGCACATTTGGACATCGACGGTAGACTATACGTGATCGTATCTCCTACGAGATACGATGGTCACTAGCACTGTGACGTTCAAATCGGACGGTGGAAGAATATTTGGGTGCGAGAGAGACAAATGAACGGAAATGCAAATGTTTGGTTGAAGAGAGAATTACTAATCTTCTAACGAGACTTTGTACTCAACTCTAGATTTAAGATTACCCTTGAATGTCACTAGGTGTGAGTATTTATAGTCAATAAAGATGAGCCAAGGTCCATTGGATGCTTGACATTTAGCTCATCTTAACGACCCATTGGTCAAGCTCGATTATGTCATCCATAGCTTGAACATAGGCTAAAAAAGTTGTCTAAACTAAAGACGTTGATGTAGGGTTTTTGTATCAATCAAACATACTGTCCAGCTGTGATTTGACCAAGGCAAGGCTTGTAATAGAAACACATCGTAGAAGATGCCATTCGTTTCAAAATTGTAATTGTACTGCAACAAAAGGCTATGCATTGCCTCAAATAATCACATTTTGGGATAGTGTCCAATGGCGATAATGGCGTCCACAGGCATTGGTGAGTAACGCTGAATGTTACAAGTAGTGATGATGTAGAAGGCCACGACGACAATAAAAATAAGCGAAAATTATGTGTAATACCTAAGTGTCACAAGTGGCGTATGCCATAGAAACATGTTGTGAAGTGTGACTAACATAATATTACAAGTATTAACAGAATGTGTTATGAAAAGATTTTGTACAAAATAAAATAAAATGATAAATATTTTGAGAATAAAAATATATTTAAAAGTTTGAAATTAGTAAACCATTTTAGTGTATTTGTGAATTCTTAAAAGGGAAGATTACATAACTACAACATTATAAAAACACATTTCATAAATAACAAACTCATTGAAATATTTCAAAAAGCAGATAGTAAATATACTTATTAAATATTAAACTATAATATAATATACATTAATTATTTCCACTCCATGCCACCTCATTCACCCCACTGCGCCACCTTCCCTTCATCTCTCCACCGGAGATAACTATCAGCTCCGGCATTCACTCTGGAGACCTCTCAGGTAGCAGCTCCGACGATTGGTCCGGCAACTGTTCCGAAAAACTATTGCGGCGAACGCCCGGTGACTGCTCCGACAAACTGCTCCGGCAACTATTCCACCAATTGTTCTGGCTCCGATGATAGAAAAATCTCCAAAATTTGTGATGGTCGTAGTGGTGCATTGTAGTTATCAGATTTACAATCGTGTTATCTGTGACCATACCTACATTATATGTGACCAATTCACCGACTTATGTTATCTGAGAATCACTGCAACCAACTTTGTCTTTGGTGTGACTAATTGTGACCAAATTTGTATTCAATGTGATTGTCTGTGACCAGATCAATCTCAAGTCACAACCGGTTACAATCAATACAAAATTGATCACAAATAGTCACAACCAAATCTTGAACAGAAAAACCAGATCTCCAACCACTATAACAAATCTGTTCGAAAAAATAATAACCACAAGTACTACTAACATCTTTAACTCAAATTGATGACCATAAATACTTCATTCACCTCAAATCTACAATAATCATCACTACCATAACTTTCACCAACCCTTCAAAAAACACCAACCAGCACCACCACACTTCTCTCGTGAAACTCCGGTGAGAGAAGTGATAGGTGGTTGGAATCTAGAGGGTGGGTAGGGAAGAAGTCGTAGATCTGATTTTTAGGTAAGAGAGTGCCGAACTAATTTTTGGGGAGAGAAATAGAACGTGTAGGTTAAAAATTGATACAAGATCTAGGATAAATTGATACGAGGTCTGTGACCAAATTTGTATTCAATGTGACTGTCTATGATCAGATAAATCTCAAGTCACATCCGGTCACAATCAACACAAAATAGTTCACAAACAGTCACAACCAGATCTCGAATAGAAAAAACCAGATCTCCAACCATCACAGCAAATCTGTTCGGAAAAAATAATAACCAACACTACTAACATCTTTAACTTAAATCCACAACAACAATCATCACTACCATAACTTCCACCAACACCTTCAAAAAACACCAACCAATTGATTACTGAATATTTCATAATAAAGATTTCCAAAATTCTTCTTCACCGTGCCGAAAAGGGAGATGGTTGGGTGGGTGGTGGTAGAGAAAGAGTGAGAGAGGGGATAGGGCGAAGAAAGAGGTGAGAAAATAAAAATATTTGGGGCTTGGATTTGGGAACGAAATGGGGATGAAATGGGCTTCACTATGCCGAAAAAGGAGATGGTTGGGTGGGTGATTGGAGAGAGAGAGAGAGTGAGAGGTGGGAAAATGAAAGTACTTGGGCTTGGATTTGGGAAGGAAATGGGTGGAGGGGCGGTGGTACGTTGGTATAATTAAATTTTCATTAATTATAATTATTAAATCTAATTAACACCTGATTTGTGAAATGAAAATTAATTATCCTTATTTTTGAAAATTAGTCTTTAAATGTAACTTTCTAGTTAATTTTCCATTCTTAAAATTTACGTTTAGCCCACCTCAACCCAACGGCCCAATAAAAATGTAAATGATCCGGACCCCAAATTAAACCCAAATCTGCTATTTCCCTGATTAAAGTGACGGACTCCGCTCTACTGTACCCAAATCTCACTATCTTATTTCTCCCCGCTCTTCCCTTCTCAGTTGCACTGCTGTCTGCCCCAGCATTTGAGGACAGGTCAATTTTTTTTCTTGCAATTTCAGTAACTCTTTACAAATTACAGTATCTTTTTACTTCAATTTACTTGTTTGCGTTGTATTGCATCCAAATTCTTGTATGCATTTTTTTTCTTAGGGATTTTGCTAGTTTACGCGTTGAATGTTAGAAATCATTTTTTTGCTTGTTTCAGTGTATTTGTGTATGTGTGTGAATTTTTTTTCCCCATCTGTTAGTACAATTTGTTCCTGAGATTATATTTGTGTTATTGCTGAATTGACTTAAATTTATAAATAAGAATTTCTTATTCAAACAGCAGAACGTCCAGAAACTAGTTCTCAAATTTTTCATCATTTGAAACTCGTAATGGAAAAGAACTTGTAGTAATATATTTTTATCTACTTTTAAAGTATCGGTTGTATAAAATGTATTTGTATTACTTGCAAAGTCATTTGAACCTTAATATTCTTGATAAATTATTATATATTGATTTGTTTGTTTTATTTTAGATTCCACCGTAGATGAATTGACTTCAGTTGATCATAAGTCAACAATATTAGATTAGCCCTAAAATTTATCATAGCAACCCGTCAAAGAATATGGTCAAAATAAATTTAAAATGGTGCAAAAATCAGCTTGCAAAAAAGTAAATGGTTTTGGTGTTTCACAGTGGTGGCAGTGGTGGTAAGGTGGAGGATTTGGGTTGGGTTGGGTTGGGTTGCGTTTCAGTGGTGTGGAAGCACAGATAGATGTGTGTGTTGTGATCGGCAGTGTCAGTTGCAGATGGTGTTGTAGTTTGGGATGGGCCAACATGGTGGTGTTGGGCGATGACGATGGATGTAATTTTGGTGCTGGTGGAGGTGGCTGCCGGCAGTGGTGGTATTTGTTGCTCGATGGTGGTAGGTGTTGTATATATGGTGGTTCAGGGAATTGGTCGTGGTGATGGCATCTATGGCGTCACTGTAACATTGCATGTTATTGTGTTACACTTTGTGTAATGGCGTCAATGATGTTGGCAGCAGCAGTGGCGTAATATAATTTGGTACAAGTGTTATAAAAGGTGTAAAGAGAAGTGTAATCAGTATTTTTGTAATAAAAAAGTTCAATAATATATTTTGAAATAATTTGTTTTTTCGTCTATTTGTGAAAGTATCCGTTTACAAATTCTTGCTGGCCTCTTCAATTTAAGCCCACTCTATCTTGTGGTTTTGCTTCCACTTCGCTGCATGTTGATTTACACTTAGCTGGTCAGCCCTAAGTCTAAATCACTATATCTAGTTGCTGGCTTTGGGTAATTGATTCCCCTTACTCTGAATTCCAAGTCATTCAGTTTCATTTTTGTTTTGTTCAATTTCAAGTGAGTGTTCTTTTTCTTCCATTTTGTGTAATGGATTTTGTGCGTGGTTCTAAAATTTGGTTGATGCACTAAGTTTTGCTGGATCATTATATTTTAGTGGCTGCATTTTTAAGAGTATGCAATCAAGATTAGAATTGGAGCTACCGGAGCTGGTTGATGATGGTAGAAGTGTAGAAGTATATATAAAAGGGGGGAAAATGAACATAGGTCTTCCTTTTGTGTTATGCGTCCCAAGAGCAATGGATTTGTGATATTTCGGAATTTCATTATTCGTACATGCAATTGGATGTTATAATATGAGATTCCTATTTGATTAGTACATATGTCCTTTTTTTGGAAATCCACTATTGTGCTTTTGTTCATGACACAATCCTGTTTGTTTGTTAAATCAGTATGATCTATTGAAATATGTCAAGATGAAAATGTGCCATGGAAATCTACATAATGTTATGTTAACTTCACATGTTCTTAGTATTCTGAGCTGCTCATATCTTTAGTTTCTTTTTAATTAAGCAGTACGCTAGGAGAAGAATAAATTTTTTGTAACTGTAGCATTAATGGTTGAGGTATGGTGGTCCCTGCTCGGGGCTGCTATTCCTGCTGTTATTGCTGGTCAAGCTTTCCGACTGAAGAGGAAGCGCTCGGAGGAGCAAAGAATCAAAAGTGCTCGGGGCAGGGAAAAGAGTGCCGATGATATATTTGTGTGTGAGAGAGTTTGCACGTCGAAGAGAATGTTGAAGAAAGTCGGCGCATTCTCAAAGGATCCAATCCCGGATACATGTGTTACAGTATGTGGTGTTTCTGAACTTGATGCTTGTTCTGATGCCTGTGCTCGTACGGTCTGTGTCAATCAACATCAAGTCCCCAACTGGAACGATGTCTGCCTTCGTAGATGTCAAAGTGAATGTCTTAAACTCTCTGCTTCTCGTTCTTCGTAGTCTATTTTTATGTCAGAAATGTGGTTTCTCTTTGTACGCTATATTGAATTATGGAATCCTCGCCATATTTTAGCGGATTAATATTTTCTGTGTCAAGCAATTAGGGAAATTTCTGCGTGTTTTGAACTTGATTTACTTAGTTCAGAATGATTTGAAGTGATCTGTGTAGTCTCTTTTTCACTGCTTAAATCAAGGCAGCAAGGCAATTAATCTCGCCTTTTGGTCATCGTATGTGAAAATAATCCAGATTTCTTTATCAAAAGAGAGAATGTATACTACATCACTGGAACTAGCCTAATTTCTTAAAGGTTGAATCCCAATTTTGAGGGTCCTCATCGTCCCGCTCCTAGAGCTTTGTGAGGGAGGTAAATCGCAGGATGTGTCCCAGCAGGCTAAGGAACAAGAGCTGTCTGTATACTGCGCCTACAAAGAGTCCAATTTCATGTCTCAGAAATCAAACCCGTACACTGCGGCTGTCAGTAAGATGAGAGATAACCTCACTCCTGTCCTTTGCATCACTGGACTATGCCCCGGAGGGCAGCCTAATTTCTTAGTTGTGTGTATTGTGTAGTATGCTTTAATTTTTACTACATCAAAAGAGAGAATATATACTACATCAAAGGAGAGAAAACTTCATGGTCAAAAGTTACTATTAAGTTTCTCAGAGTAGAAAGTTTCTTGAACACATCTTATTTCTTGAACATTAGTTAAAATTGTTTTTAGAAATAGAGTTGGAAAGTACTTGCTCTCCGAAAAAGTATATTTTTAAGTTTGCACTACACAATTTTTTGCCTTTGCATTCAACGACTGGATACACGGAATTAAATATTATGGATTAAACGAATAATCTTTATTATTATGAGTAACTAATAACATGAAATAAAGAAAATGGAATTAAGAATAACATGCGACTTAACATGTTTCATCATCAATGTAAGAGCTATTGCACTAGGTGTCGTCGTCGAATTGTACTATATAGGAGAAGAAATACAATGTGTTCTGTTCTCACATCTCTTTATTTTCTTTCTACTATATTACATGGTTTTGAAGCTCGCCCTAATACTCTTTATATAAGAGAAAATACGACATGGTTCTTTTTGGCTCCTCTCAACCCGTCTAGGCGTTGGTATAAAGATCAAAGACGATCTCAGATAAGCTATACCGACAGGAGAAGTCGCAAAATGAAGAATTTTTCTCGTTCAAGAACTTGGCAAGCTGGTTTACATTCATGCAGCAATGTGTGAATCCTTATGGTTGAATCCAACAGTTCCATTTCAGCACAAGGATCCTCTACCGGCAGACATCCTTCCAAGTGGCCGTTTTGTTCATCCAAATATAAAGGTAATGTTCTCTTTGTAAGCAATGGGGAGAATGGAGGCAATTAGGGGGAAAGGATTGCCATCATGTGGATTTCCGAGCGCCAGACGATCAAGCACAAGCCCTCGTACATGTTCTTGGCATTCAATGCTTGTCCTAGGAAAGAAGTGGCTTTCACAGAGTTGAAGACTGTTGCCACAACTATAATCCATAATTTTCAAGCCGAGGTGGTCGAAGGGTATGAAATAGCCCCCCAATTGTTCTGTCATCCTATACATGAGGCATGGATTAAAGGCTAGGATTAGCAAAGAGATTGTCCTAAGGGGTCATGTTTATGCATGTTTGCTTTTCCTACGCTATGTTTCCCTTTTTTTTCTTGGTTATTTTTTGTCAATGGAGAAAGAATTAAAGAAAAAAAAATTGTCAATTGTCTTCTACTTTGGTTTGAATGTAGTGTGTACAACATTGTAAAAAATCCTAGTGTTAAGTCTTCCTAAACATTCTCTCTTCCTCATCCCGTTAGCAAAAGAAAAAGAAGAAAGAAAAAAATATATGATGGATATATTAAGTAGAATCTCTTGCACGCTCCAAAATTCAATTACATCCAAATAGCCTCCATGCTAAGAAAAATCACTTATTCCATGTTTGAGCCCCATTTTATCAAAAAATCATTTTTTTTTTCAAAACTCATTTTAGACCACACATTTTCCAATAAAATAATTTTACAAATAAATCGAAAATATTTTCTCATTTTTTAAGCACACGTTTTCCAAAAAACACTAATCCAGAATCCCCGCCCCCCAAAATGGGGCTCAAATAAGGGCTTAATATGTACTAGATGAGATTTCAAAGGATTATGTCTCATCTCAAAATAGTTAATAAGTATCTCATAGATTTAAACATATACAACACTGAGGGTACGTTTGATTGCGAGCGTGAAATTTCCATGGAAAAAAAAATTCTAGAAGTTATTTGTATGAAAATTATTAATTGTGTTTGATTGATTTAGTTTTTTAATCTAAAAAATATTATACTTGTTCATTTTTTATTAGTGGATAGATGAGAGAAATAAGATGGATGAAAGAGAGCAAGAAAAAGTGAATTAATTGGAAAATAAAAACCACTTCCCTAAAAAAATGTTTTCTTGTTTTTGAAGAAAATTCACGTCCCCGAAAGTTGGAAAACATTTTTCATAAAAAAAATTATCAATCAAACATCCCAAAAGCCAGAATTTGAGTAAAAAAATGACATCTTCCAATCAAACACACTTTAAAGGAAGACTTTTATACAACGTGGAATTCATAACAATCTCATTATAAGTAAGAAACTAAAAAGCAAAAATCATATTCTAATAAGACAATATCAAATTAAAATCATAACAAAAATAGTTGATCAAAAAAATGTGCGTCAACAATAGAACAATAGGTTTATTTCAAATGAAAGTAAATACATTTTAGGAAAAAGAATTATTACTCTCGTCTACACACCGCTTATCGAAGGAACAGTGCCAATGTTGAGATGAAAAATTAATTATTTACCAATCCTTTTAGACGTGCTACAGAAATTCACAGTATAATTAGGTAAGAAATTAACTTAAATTCTTAAAAAAATCATGAATATACCACAAAATTATAAGTTTAATAGATTTTCTTATCGAAGAGAAACGCCTCAATTTATTAGGTCATATCATTGACAATAATCGATAAAAGAAGAAGCTCAATACTACCATTGTTTAGTAATATGCAATCATGGCTCATATAAGTTGCATCCCTCTCATATTGTAGAGTTATGATCATGGATTTGCGGACCCTCGAACTATGTAATTGGAAAGACAATGACCATCTTTTAGTACAAAGTAAACAAATTTATTCTCCCTTTATATTGCGATAAAAAAAAATGTCTAAATTATCAAAAATTTTGAGAATAACATCAAAAACGAAAAAAAAAAAAAATTCAATTACATCCAAATAGCCTCCATGCTAAGAAAAATCACTTATTCCATGTTTGAGCCCCATTTTATCAAAAAATCATTTTTTTTTTCAAAACTCATTTTAGACCACACATTTTCCAATAAAATAATTTTACAAATAAATCGAAAATATTTTCTCATTTTTTAAGCACACGTTTTCCAAAAAACACTAATCCAGAATCCCCCCCCGCCCTCCCCCCAAAATGGGGCTCAAACAAGGGCTTAATATGTACTAGATGAGATTTCAAAGGATTATGTCTCATCTCAAAATAGTTAATAAGTATCTCATAGATTTAAACATATACAACACTGAGGGTACGTTTGATTGCGAGCGTGAAATTTCCATGGAAAAAAAAATTCTAGAAGTTATTTGTATGAAAATTATTAATTGTGTTTGATTGATTTAGTTTTTTAATCTAAAAAATATTATACTTGTTCATTTTTTATTAGTGGATAGATGAGAGAAATAAGATGGATGAAAGAGAGCAAGAAAAAGTGAATTAATTGGAAAATAAAAACCACTTCCCTAAAAAAATGTTTTCTTGTTTTTGAAGAAAATTCACGTCCCCGAAAGTTGGAAAACATTTTTCATAAAAAAAATTATCAATCAAACATCCCAAAAGCCAGAATTTGAGTAAAAAAATGACATCTTCCAATCAAACACACTTTAAAGGAAGACTTTTATACAACGTGGAATTCATAACAATCTCATTATAAGTAAGAAACTAAAAAGCAAAAATCATATTCTAATAAGACAATATCAAATTAAAATCATAACAAAAATATTTGATAAAAAAAAAGTGCATCAACAAAAGAATAATAGGTTTATTTCAAATGAAAGTAAATACTTTCTAGGAAAAAGAATTATTACTCTCGTCTACACACCACTTATCGAAGGAACAGTGCCAATGTTGAGATGAAAAATTAATTATTTACCAATCCTTTTAGACGTGCTACAGAAATTCACAGTATAATTAGGTAAGAAATTAACTTAAATTCTTAAAAAAATCATGAATATACCACAAAATTATAAGTTTAATAGATTTTCTTATCGAAGAGAAACGCCTCAATTTATTAGGTCATATCATTGACAATAATCGATAAAAGAAGAAGCTCAATACTACCATTGTTTAGTAATATGCAATCATGGCTCATATAAGTTGCATCCCTCTCATATTGTAGAGTTATGATCATGGATTTGCGGACCCTCGAACTATGTAATTGGAAAGACAATGACCATCTTTTAGTACAAAGTAAACAAATTTATTCTCCCTTTATATTGCGATAAAAAAAAATGTCTAAATTATCAAAAATTTTGAGAATAACATCAAAAACGAAAAAAAAAAAAGAACGAAATTCTTAAACTGTCATATTAATTAAATTACTAAAAGTCTATTTGAGAGTGATTTTGAGAATTGATTTTTTAACCGTTAGGAGAAAAGTGGGGTTCACTTGTAAAAGAAGAAGTCAAATATGACGGCTGAAATTGTGAAATAACGGTTTTAATTTTTTGAGGCAAAAAATCACTCCCAAACAAGCTATAAATATGTGATTTAACATTTTTTCTTAACCACCCAATTTGTGAAAAGTAAAAATTAGATATTGGATTGGTCTAGTAATCACTTGATCGAGATTAGAGTTCGATAGGAGCCCATTCTATGATACATTCCATTCTGGCAATTTTATTTTATTATTTTATTTATTTATTTTAAAGCCCAATTGAAAGGCGTCTATGTCCGATTACAACTCATGCTTATTGCAAGAGGGGCAAGCGGATGAAGTTTTCTTCCGCGGTATTACACAAAAATTTGGGAACAATTTATCTTTTGCTGCTGTGATTTCTACTCTACTTCTTCGTCACCATACTTGGGAAGGTATTACCGGATTTTATTAGTGTAAAAGGGCTTTATATGTTGAAATCGCCCTTCATCTGACTGTGGTGATCGATTTAATTTCAACTCAACACCTTATAATTTGTTTATTTTTCTAAATTTGTTATTGCTTGATGTTAATCTTCCTCTAACGACAGTGATTTTTCGACAATATCTCTTGAATTTTTGATGCTGTTGTTTATGGTTTTCTCCTTGCCTTGAAAACTGGCTGCCTCTTAAGTGTAATAGGTGAAATACCTAGGGCCAAAACTACTGCCTCCACTAGGCCCCAGGTGGCTCCGCCACTGCCCGCACATATATGTTTTTTAGTTTCAGTGTGAGGATGGCATTGGCGTGCTACTTATTTTAGAGAATGTTTATTTGGATATTTCCGAATGAGATGTTTAGTAATGGAATTGCTTTTGTGCCTCAGTATCTATTATGCAAGCTATGACATTGCATGTAATCTCAAACGTATAGCTAATAGCTCGTGTCAACTGCTTGAGTTTCATCTATACATGCTAAATTCCTTTGCACTCATTTGAATCCAATATACCCAAACTTATTGAGAATTTTCCTATATTCAGTTACAAACCCAAAAAAAACTATGGTTCTTAAATATGGACGCAAATGTCACCTTTCGTCTTTTTGTGTCAAACTTCTTGTTCAGTCAGAAAATAAGATGGGTGAAGTCATTTTGGGCATGCCGGGACCTTGGGCTGATAATAATTATGAAGCAGCTGATCATTATACAACAAAAATTGGTGGACTTCCTGTAAGGAGTGCATCTCTCAAGTATCTTATTCATGTTATTAGTACATGTTTTATCTCACTCCTGAGTTCACCTTCCTATTGAACAGGACTGGCCTTTTCCAGGGGGAAAGGATTGCCATCATGTGGATTTCCGAGCGCCAGACGATCAAGCACAAGCCCTCGTACATGTTCTTGGCATTCAATGCTTGTCCTAGGAAAGAAGTGGCTTTCACAGAGTTGAAGACTGTTGCCACAACTATAATCCATAATTTTCAAGCCGAGGTGGTCGAAGGGTATGAAATAGCCCCCCAATTGTTCTGTCATCCTATACATGAGGCATGGATTAAAGGCTAGGATTAGCAAAGAGATTGTCCTAAGGGGTCATGTTTATGCATGTTTGCTTTTCCTACGCTATGTTTCCCTTTTTTTTTCTTGGTTATTTTTTGTCAATGGAGAAAGAATTAAAGAAAAAAAAATTGTCAATTGTCTTCTACTTTGGTTTGAATGTAGTGTGTACAACATTGTAAAAAATCCTAGTGTTAAGTCTTCCTAAACATTCTCTCTTCCTCATCCCGTTCGCAAAAGAAAAAGAAGAAAGAAAAAAATATATGATGGATATATTATGTAGAATCTCTTGCAAGCTCCAAAATTCAATTACATCCAAATAGCCTCCACGCTAAGAAAAATCACTTATTCCATGTTAGAGCCCCATTTTATCAAAAAATCATTTTTTTTTTCAAAACTCATTTTAGACCACACATTTTCCAATAAAATAATTTTACAAATAAATCGAAAATATTTTCTCATTTTTTAAGCACACGTTTTCCAAAAAACACTAATCCAGAATCCCCGCCCCCCAAAATGGGGCTCAAATAAGGGCTTAATATGTACTAGATGAGATTTCAAAGGATTATGTCTCATCTCAAAATAGTTAATAACTATCTCACAGATTTAAACATATAAAACATTGAGGATACGTTTGATTGTGAACATGAAAGTTGCATGAAAATAAAATAATTTCTAGAAGTTATTCATATGAAAATTATTAATTGTATTTGATTGATTTAATTTTCAATATAAAAAATATTATACTTTTCCATTTCTTATTGATGGATAGATGAGAGAGAGAGAAAGAAAAAGTGAATTACTTAGAAAATAAAAATCACCTCTCCCTAAAAAAATTGTTTTCATTGTTTTTGAAAAAAATATGATCACATTACCAAAAATTGAAAAATATTTTTCATTGAAAAAATTTGTCAATCAAACATCCTAAAAGTAATAATTTGAGTAGAAAAATGACATTTTCCGATCAAACACACTTTAAAGGAAGACTTTTATACAACTTTGGAATTCATAACAATCTCATTATAAGTAAGAAACTAAAAAGTAAAAATCATATTCTATTAAGACAATATCAAATTAAAATCATAACAAAAATAGTTGATCAAAAAAATGTGCGTCAACAATAGAACAATAGGTTTATTTCAAATGAAAGTAAATACATTTTAGGAAAAAGAATTATTACTCTCGTCTACACACCGCTTATCGAAGGAACAGTGCCAATGTTGAGATGAAAAATTAATTATTTACCAATCCTTTTAGACGTGCTACAGAAATTCACAGTATAGCCTCCGTTTGAGCCCCATTATTTCTCATTACATTAAATTAATTTTTTCTTTCTCCTACTTTTAACCACACAATTTTCAATAAAATAATATTACACGTAAATCAAAAACTTTTCAACCACTAATTTTTCAAAAAAATACTATTCATCTCATTATAATTTACAAATAATGGGGCTCAAACGGGGGCTAGGTAAGAAATTAACTTAAATTCTAAAAAAAATCATGAATATACCACAAAATTATAAGTTTAATAGATTTTCTTATCGAAAAGAAACGCCTCAATTTATTAGGTCATATCATTGACAATAATCGATAAAAGAAGAAGCGCAATACTACCATTGTTTAGTAATATGCAATCATGGCTCATATAAGTTGCATCCCTCTCATATTGTAGAGTTATGATCATGGATTTGCGGACCCTCGAACTATGTAATTGGAAAGACAATGAAGACAATGACCATCTTTTAGTACAAAGTAAACAAATTTATTCTCCCTTTATATTGCGATAAAAAAAAATGTCTAAATTATCAAAAATTTTGAGAATAACATCAAAAACGAAAAAAAAAAGAACGAAATTCTTAAACTGTCACATTAATTAAATTACTAAAAGTCTATTTGAGAGTGATTTTGAGAATTGATTTTTTAACCGTTAGGAGAAAAGTGGGGTTCACTTGTAAAAGAAGAAGTCAAATATGACGGCTGAAATTGTGAAATAACGGTTTTAATTTTTTGAGGCAAAAAATCACTCCCAAACAAGCTATAAATATGTGATTTAACATTTTTTCTTAACCACCCAATTTGTGAAAAGTAAAAATTAGATATTGGATTGGTCTAGTAATCACTTGATCGAGATTAGAGTTCGATAGGAGCCCATTCTATGATACATTCCATTCTGGCAATTTTATTTTATTATTTTATTTATTTATTTTAAAGCCCAATTGAAAGGCGTCTATGTCCGATTACAACTCATGCTTATTGCAAGAGGGGCAAGCGGATGAAGTTTTCTTCCGCGGTATTACACAAAAATTTGGGAACAATTTATCTTTTGCTGCTGTGATTTCTACTCTACTTCTTCGTCACCATACTTGGGAAGGTATTACCGGATTTTATTAGTGTAAAAGGGCTTTATATGTTGAAATCGCCCTTCATCTGACTGTGGTGATCGATTTAATTTCAACTCAACACCTTATAATTTGTTTATTTTTCTAAATTTGTTATTGCTTGATGTTAATCTTCCTCTAACGACAGTGATTTTTCGACAATATCTCTTGAATTTTTGATGCTGTTGTTTATGGTTTTCTCCTTGCCTTGAAAACTGGCTGCCTCTTAAGTGTAATAGGTGAAATACCTAGGGCCAAAACTACTGCCTCCACTAGGCCCCAGGTGGCTCCGCCACTGCCCGCACATATATGTTTTTTAGTTTCAGTGTGAGGATGGCATTGGCGTGCTACTTATTTTAGAGAATGTTTATTTGGATATTTCCGAATGAGATGTTTAGTAATGGAATTGCTTTTGTGCCTCAGTATCTATTATGCAAGCTATGACATTGCATGTAATCTCAAACGTATAGCTAATAGCTCGTGTCAACTGCTTGAGTTTCATCTATACATGCTAAATTCCTTTGCACTCATTTGAATCCAATATACCCAAACTTATTGAGAATTTTCCTATATTCAGTTACAAACCCAAAAAAAACTATGGTTCTTAAATATGGACGCAAATGTCACCTTTCGTCTTTTTGTGTCAAACTTCTTGTTCAGTCAGAAAATAAGATGGGTGAAGTCATTTTGGGCATGCCGGGACCTTGGGCTGATAATAATTATGAAGCAGCTGATCATTATACAACAAAAATTGGTGGACTTCCTGTAAGGAGTGCATCTCTCAAGTATCTTATTCATGTTATTAGTACATGTTTTATCTCACTCCTGAGTTCACCTTCCTATTGAACAGGACTGGCCTTTTCCTGTTGATATTGAGAAGCCTAATCTGCTTGAGTGCGATGCATGTGGTAGCAATCTTTGTCTCATTGTCCAGGTTAAAATTCTGAACCATGCTGCAGCTCTTTGTTGTCGTTGATAATTTTTTCATTGAAATGTGATATGCCTCCCTACTCCTTTTTTGACATCATTATTTCCTCTTTCACGGGTGTTGCTCCAGGTTTATGCTCCTATTTCAAGTAAATCTTTGGAAATAGAAGAGCGAGTGATCTATGTTTTTGGTTGCATGAAGCCAGAGTGTAGGAGCACTCCTGTAAGGTCCTTTTCAAATTTCTGTCTGAGATCCGTTTAGACAAATACTGTAGTTATTTTCTCTAAATCATTTTTGCAATTGTGCTTATTTATTCTCACTGATCCTCTTAACTTATGCAGCTGGAGAGTTCTTCGAGTTCAGCAGCCTTCTGGCAGTGTGGAATTGGCATCCCCCTCTGATAAAATGGTTCCTATATCTCCTCCTTCAGTTTCAAATAATGATTGGCGGGAGGATTTGTGGTCATTTGAATCTGGAGGAGAGGATGGTGATGGTGACATAGATCTGGAGGAGTTGGGCAGGGCACTTTCTGAAGCTGCAGGTGCTACTTCTGTTTCCAGAAAACAAAATTATGATGCTGCATCTAGTGGGAAGCGTCTACCTACAAACGTACTAGCTAGCTCCATTGATGATAAAATACCAGGTAAGATTCATGTGTTTATTGAGAAACAGCCTTGACACGATGTTGTTTCACACCATCTTTGACAATGGCAAGTATGTGTATTGATCTGCCTGTGTTCGATGTTTTTGTATTTGATGCATTCTCTAATTCTGGTTGTTTTTGGCATCGAGGTTCATAATGAAATGGATCTGTCATGAATGTTGAAATGCAGAACGTAAAGTTAGATGAGTAATGGCTCTGTTATAATGAGTATGAAGGTTGAGGGTTGTTATCTTTACTGTTACATTTTATTTTTCTGTTATATAATTGTGTTTTTAAAGTATATTACCATGAGATAAACCTAGTTATTTAGTTAATGAGTTGGAGAGAATTTGGTAGAATAGATTTTTTAGTAGCCTCAGTTAATGAACATAGTGCTTAAAAACATTGCCTAGAACCCGTAATAAAGAAAAGGTATAGGTGTTTACATTGTCTTTTGCATCTGTATGTATTTCTGCAATGTTTTGTTTCTATGTTTAAGAATTTGGAAATTTCATTTCACAATTTTTTTCCCTTGTTTGCAGTGGTACCTTGCTTTTATATACATACCCAGAAAGAGAAATTCTCAAAAGACATTATTCCTGAATTTTCAAAGTTGACATTGCTCTGTACCAAAGAGAATGAAGAAAATCGTGATGATGAATCAGATGGGGAACCATGGGAACAAGAGAGTTATGAATATGATAAAGCATTGAATGCTGATAGGACTTACCTTAAGTTCAAAAAACGAATAGATGCATACCCAAAGCAATGTTTCAGGTAAGTGTCTCCATAATGTTAACTTTGTAATAACACTCATGGCATGCTTATCCCGTGCGATTTGATTTCAAATTCTAGCTCGTAGTTTTTCTTTTTAAGATAATTTCAGATAATTTTAAGAATGTCGTGAGATTGTTGTCAATCACAAATGTTTTGTGAATGTCTGCATTCAACCAAACAAAGAAAAGAAAAGAGAAAACTCCACATGTTAAACATGGTGTCAATTGACTTTGAATGATCTAAAAGTTCTTTCAACTATCTATCCATTAATTTAAGCATGCTTGGGAGTGATTATAAGTTGTGGGTCATACGGAATATGGGGATAATAAGTGGGTAATAATTGTGGATCTTATGAAAATGTGTAGATAAAAAGTATGTTCGACCAGCTCAAAATATAATTTAAGCTTTGGCAAACATGCACTGGTAGTTCTTTCATTGTGCATTTTTAAACTTATCTGCCCCTAGTTGTCAAATAGTTGATAATGTCCTCACTTCAAATAACCTAGCTCTGATATCATTCCCGAGTCTATGCCATAATCTTTGGTGGTTTGCTTATCCTTTCAACTTCGCTCCTGCCTTAGATATTCATATGGTGGAAAGCCATTACTGGCTTCTGGAGAGGTTGGAGATCCTGGGACATGCAGACTCTGTGGTGGGTCGAGGAACTATGAAATGCAACTGATGCCACCAGTAATATATTTCTTACAGGAAGCTGCTGATGATCAACGGAGAATATTTATAGAGAAATTTGACTGGATGACTTTGATTATCTATACTTGTTCCAAGGTGAGTGGTCACTGTTATTCAGGTTGTATATATTAATTAGTAATTACCCCTCTAGTATATTCTTTTTTTTTTTTTTTCCCTCACAAATCATCTTCCAAGATTACTTCAAAACTCGTGCCTCTCTTAACAAGTTCACAACACTGTGATACTGAATTTTAACCCAGTTTTACTCCCCCAAATAAAAGAGGGGGCATTCAACTTGTCTTTTCTTTCTTTTTCTTTATTCTTTATTTTTATTTTTGGGTAGGGGTGAGACAATATTGTTCAGTCCATTCAAAGGCTTCCTAGGCAAGGGAGGAAGTAACAGTCATTAGTAGATCTATCTGTAATATACATAGTGAATTTTGCATTATTATGTATAGAAGACAAGAAAAGGGAAAAAGAAGATAACAGTAGTAGAATTGACGAACAGAAATTATGGTATATGCATATGTGTTACTAGTTTGAAGTTGACAAGTTGTCTTCCCCAATTTGATGGGGTGAGAGAGATAATTGGCTTGTTTAACCCAACTCTTATGTCCTAATGCATGCTTGTTACACATTGTTGGACAAGATTGAGTAGAACAAAATTCAATCTTCTTTTTCTTGCTTAATACTATCTAGTGCTATTCATACATGTCATTAATGTTAACTCTCATATCATTGTCACTGATAATGTTTTTGTCTATCTGGCTTGTTGTGTATATACCATCCAATTCAAGCTAATAACTTGTGTCTTTTCTTATTAGAGCTGCTCGCACTCGAATCAAGAAAAATCGCTTAGAGACTGGGTTGTAGCAGAGGAGGCTGTTGTCATTCAATATGAGTAGTATTGCTGAAACTGTGTTATCAATTACATGTTGTACACATAGGAGCAGGTTTCTGTTTGCCTTTTATAGTTATATGGATATATAATTTAAATTTTTGTCGAATCTTTAACAATATTTGAGCTAAAATTATTTCCTCCAATGTCTTTAAACTCGGCTTAGGATTCGACTCTGGAAAGGTAAAAGGTCAGTCGGCAGTATTTAAAAAAAAAAAAAAAACAACAACAACAACACAACCAGTTTCACTTGCATACATGCACTAAACCAAAAAACTGTGGAAGTTAATCATTATTAGAACAAAAAATAATAGCATATCAATGACCGAATATTAGAATTCTCTCTCGTCAAGAATGTTTGAAACAATATTTCCCTCTTTCAGCTAATATAAAACATTCAAATACACTAAATAGCTTGAGTAATTCAGGAATTTTTCATTTTAAAATATAATCACATGATATTTTGCCAAATTGTATTCACTAATATCCCCCTTCCAGAGCATAAAATGAACTGCTCTGTAAGTTCAAGGATTTCTTAACCAGGTAAACTATTTCTATTCATGTTATATACATCATACAATGAAAAAGGTAGCCCAAATAAATTAAGGGCTCATGAGCCCGACCTGTTTTGACACCACTACGCATAAAGAGCCACATTTTCTGGGATTTTTACAAAGAAAAACCAGCAGATAGCTTCATAAAATGTCATCACCATTCACTTCCATCTTTTAGCATTCTTCAGCCCTTTCGACTTCTGTTTTGCTGCTTGAAACGCCTGCATTTTTTGTTTCTTCCGAGCTTCTTTCTCCGCCTAGTAAAGGATACAAAATATATTTAGTTACATTTTTTTTCGCGCGATAAATATAAAGGATAATCAACAATGTTTAATTTTATGTTGCCTCAGGAGCAATGAGTGTTAAAGAGTCTAAAACTTACCAGCATAGTTGGTAAAGTATTATTGGACAGGACTTGACAGCACTATAAACAAGATTTTAATCTCTTTTTTCATTTTTCACATTTAATTGATTGATAATACTGTTCAATCATGTCCAGTACCGTGTTGAAAACATGCACTATTAGCAAAAATGAGCGTCAGGGCAATTTACCTTGGACATCTTGGATTTAGCTTTTGACTTAGGAGACTTCTCCTCGAGCTCTGCCTCTCTTTCAAGTTCCCTCTCTCTGGCTTCAAGGTTCTTCTCTAAATAATACTGCGATGCTCAAAATTTTCACATTATCAGGATGCACAAATAGATTGAATATTCATGTATACGAGCTTCTGATCAAAAATAAAAGCGAAAAACAACTCTCTCTTATAGCCTACACGAGAAATGTAAAACGAATTTATGTCCATATACTTCCCTTTTTTCTATACCAATTATTTATACTTCCTCTCACGTTTTCATTCTTATGAATATAAGAAGTAACGAAAATAGTTCATCCTGAAAATTACTAATAAGTTGCAAGTGATATGAGTCGAAAATAAATATGTGATGGCACACAGGGAAAACTTGCAAAAGTGGTATTTTCGACCGGAGAATTTAGACTTACATTGTAATCTCCAGCATAGTCCTGTAGGGTTCCATCTTTCACTTCCAATACCCGGTTAACAATTTGCTTTATGAAGTATCGGTCGTGAGAGACTGTAATAACAGTGCCCTTGTACTCATTTATTGCCTCCTAATGTGAGAAACAGAACAAAGGGAGAATAACAAGGTAAACTAATATGATACAAGGGAAACAATTGAAGAGCAAGGAAAGAACGGAAGAATCCCGAACCTCAAGCATCTCTTTTGAAGGTATATCCAAATGATTGGTTGGCTCGTCCAAAACCAGCAAAGTTGAAGGTTTGACCATGAACTTGCAAAATGCAAGTCGAGCCTGAACCAATGGAAATTAAAAATAATTTTCCAATAATAACTAATTCCAGAATCAATCAAACTAAGTTATTGCAAGATAGAAGATGTAAAACAGATTTCATCAATGGGAGATTTTGTGAATTACAAGACGGTTTTCTTCATGCGAATCAACAATAGTAACCAAAAGCTTCATATGTAGTAAAATCATCATTCCCAAAATTGTATAATACAATTCTATGCTTATCACAAATATATAGGAATATCTATAAAATAATTCATACATTGGATCTTAATTTCAGATTTATACAGTATGGAACATTTAACTAAAATAAAAAGGAAACTATAAAGTGAGAAAGAAAATCAATAGGGTTGTCTGGTTGAGGACTTTGGAAGCAAAAAACACACACAAAATGAAATAAAATAAATCTACTAACCAAAAGCTAGAGAGAGAGAGAGAGAGAGAGAGAGAGAGAGAGAGAGAGAGAAATAAGTATCACATTCCATCAGCATTTACCTTCTCACCACCACTTAGGAAGGAAACTTTTCTGTCGAGCATATCGGCCTTGAAATTACAACGGCCTAGGAGCCCCTTAATATCATCCACTCTCCAGTCCTCGGCAACTTCCGCAACAGTTTCAAGCACTGTTTTATTTAAATCAAGTGCCTCAGCCTAAAAAAATAAAACAGAAAAGTTTCAATTTTAAAAAGAAAAACCTTCAGTTTGAGGTTTGAAATGGTGAATTAAGATAGACGAGACCAATGGAAGATTCACGTATTTAGATATTCCAACTACCATTGAGAACCAGACACGAAATTATGCAAGGACCGCAGGAAACCGGTAACAAGTATAACAAACCTGATTCTGTTCAAAATAATTTGGCAATACATTGTGCTCCCCAAGCAAAACTTCACCCCTGCTAGGCTTCTCTAAGCCCATAATCAGTTTAAGCAATGTACTTTTCCCACATCCATTCGGGCCAAGAATTGCTATTTTCTCCCCCTTTTGAATTGCCAAATTTGCATTTTTGAATAAAACCTGGAAAAAAAATACATAATCATAAGAATACTGTAGAAATGCCATCGCTAACTTTTCTTTGTAGTGTTCTGACAATGCTTCATTGCTTTGCAAATAATTGGTTGGTTAATGTAAAAGTAATATGAGATTAGTTTTATAGCGTGTGAAAAATCTCGACTTTTTCCTTGCAAATTATTTGGCCCAAACCATTTATTGAAGCTTCTCAACAAATTCTGCATAGATACAGAATCTATATCTCAGCATCCTAAAACCAAAATTTGTTGGGTACTTAAGGCAATTATCCTAATACCAATATCAAATTGGAATTGTTTTTGATAATTTTAAATCAAAATATCCAGGACAAACAAAATCTTGCTCCTATGATTTTCCCGCCAATTGGTTGAACATGTTAGTTACCTTGTCCTCAAAGCCAAATTCCAGATTCTTTATTGCCACAACAGATTGGCCACTTCTTCCACGCTCAGGGAACCTGATCTTCATTTGCTTCCTAATAAAGGGTTTCTCCACTTGTTCATCATCTTGCAGTTTTTCCAGCTTCTGTTGCTCCCAAGATTTCCAAAGAAAAAAGGAAAGACAGCATAAATGATAAGTACGGTGCACTGTAGTAATCCCCATTATGTATATAGATAACAATAATATATAGTGTGCTCAGTCATCATAGAACCTAAATATGAAGAACTATCCCGGTTGCAGATTAACTACTCATGACAAGTTTCATAATTAGATCACTTAATTAATTTGATCTACGTGTACCTTTTCAGCAGTAGATGCACGGCCAGAATTTGCTCCAGCACTCAACCTACTTATTAAATCTTTAGTCTGTTCAATTTCCTTCTGTTGCTTTTCCCATGCTGCAAACTGAGATTCTACCCACGTTGCCTTTGCAATAACATATTCAGAGTAATTTCCCTCGTATGTCCTGGAAACACCCATATCAGTTTCCACAATTTTTGTACACAGCTGGTCAAGGAATGCCCTGTCATGAGATATGATGACCATTGGTACATCTTGCTTACTCAGATAACCCTCAAGCCATTCGATTGTATCAAGATCAAGGTGATTTGTGGGCTCATCCAAAAGTAACAAATCAGGATCCTGGAAATCATCACATATAATGTCAGCCAATCATATAAACTGCATTACATTTTGATCATCAATTGAAACTCGATATTAACTCTAGCTCAAAATTGCTTAAGTCACATAACCGTGCCTAGTGTAAGCAAAAATGATTCACTAACCAAGAATCGCCATATAGCAAATGTTCCAGCAGAATTGACTAGCAACCAATATTCTTCGCAAGTAAATTACATCAAACAAAAAAATTATGAATATTCATTAAGATGCAAATTACAGAATCAGCAATTAGTTGTCTTATAAATTACACTCACTTCTATATCATATCCTATCAATGAATTTTTCAGTGAGCTGCATTGTACTATGAATCTCTTTAGGAGAGACAATTACGACCAAGTCAGTATATACAATTAACACAGACAATCGTACTATTTAATCATACAAAAAACTCAAATTACTTGCGTAGTAACAACATTTTTATACCTGCAACAAGATCTTCCCAAGGGACATCCTCATCTGCCACCCACCACTAAATGAAGCCACCAGCCTATCCACATCCTCAGGGGCGAATCCAAGCTCTGGCATCAGCTTACTGATCTTAACATCAACCTCATCCAAGTCCACCGCCTGCGCCCTCCTCTGTAACAAATCAAATTCATCTAAGAGCCTCCCCATCAACTCCAAATTGTCCACTGACTTCTCAATTGCATTCTGTACCTTCTCAAGCCTCTCAGCCACCTCCATTTCCTCTTTAAATGCACTCAAGAATTCTTCTTTCACCGTTCTGCTCGACAAAACCTCAAATTCTTGGCTCAAAAAGGCAACTTTCATATTATTTTTCGCTTTAATTACATTGCCTGAATCCGGTTCTTCCAAACCAGATATGATTCTCAGCTGAGTCGTTTTTCCAGCGCCATTTACGCCAACTAACCCGACCTTTTCGCCCTTTTTTACTTCCCAGCTAACGTTTTTCAATACAGTGACACCTTTATAGCTTTTGCTAATGTTTTCCAATCTAACCCCAGAAGAAATACTCGACGCTCCGGTCGAGTTCTTGTTGTTCAAACGCTTATAATTCGCTTCCGATGATTCCGAATTATTATTATCCGAAAAGAGGGATTCAATGTCTTCTTCTTCTTCAAGGGAGGTGGTGGATGATGAGGTCTCAATGGC